AACATCGACTGAGGGTGTTTGAGATCAGGGTGTTGAGGAGAATATTTGGACCAAAGAGAGATGAAGTGACAGGAGGTTGGAGAAAACTGCATAATGAGGAGCTTCATAACTTGTACTCTTCTCCAAATATAATTAGAATGATCAAGTCAAGGAGGATGAGGTGGGCAGGTCATGTAGCACGAATGGGGGCGACAAGGAACACGTATAGGATATTGGTGGGAAAGCCAGAAGGAAAGAGACCACAGTGAAGACCAGGGCCTAGGTGGGTGGACAATATTAGAATGGATCTTAGATAGAGAGGATGGGACTTATCTGGCTCAGGATAGGGACCAGTGGAGGGCTCTTATGAACATGGTAATGAACCTTTGGGTTCCATAAACTGCTGGGAAATTTTGAGTAGCTGCAGAATTGGCAGCTCCTCCAGAAGGGCTCAGCTCCATGAGTGAGTAAGTAAGTATGTGAAGGTGTAAGGGTCATTACATATGTACCTCAAAATCGAGGGATATATCAGGCCACTGACCACTTTTGTGGTGACATGTTTTCTATTTTTGTACAGCTGTCAAACTTATACCAAAGCCAGAATATAAACAAATATTAGACATCATCCGAGTCTCTAAAATGGGATATTATAATGGACAAAATGAAAGTATGTGTGCCTACCATAATATTGATGAGGCACATGAGAGGACAGGCCTAGGGATTACTGCAGCACAAACCCCATGACTGAGACTCCAGTAGTTGGAAAGCTAATGAGTTGGAATTACTGGGGGGAAAAATTTTGGAATTCCAGCACTTCAGTGATAATATGAACACTGATGATGAAGCAGCCAGGCTTTATAAAGTTTGATATATACGGAAGTTATGTCACCGTCAACACAACAAATATTTAGTTTTTATTTTGGATCTTTATACTGCTACGTGCTTTGGCCTGTTTTAGAGCATCTAGTTGACAGCTTCAAAATTTCCCCTGGACAATGATGCATAATACCATGGGTAGGCTGCCTATGGATGAGGACAGACAGTCAGCACAATCCATTAGACTGCCTTCAAAACATCAGAAACCAGGGGGGGGGGGAGTAAGGACAGCCTTCTACATCCTTCAATATATATGGATGGTGTAGTCAGGTCCAACTAATATCTTGTCCCAGAACATGATCCTAAGGAAAACAGTAAAATGGAGCAAGAAAGTCATCCTGTGGCAACCAAACAGTGGCCTCTTCAATTCTCTCGGGGTTTACAAAGCCTAAACCCCTGAAAGCATACTGAAATATAAGAAAAGCCTGCTGGAAACATCCAGATATTGGGTCGGAATGCCAAACAGATAAGACACTGAAGAAAAGCCAGAACTCCAACTAACACCATCTACACGAATCCCTCACAAAAATACCCAGGAAAATTGTTGGGGGGCTTGGAGCAACACCAACTGAAGACAACTGTGGAGCCTGAAAAGAAGTATCCAACCAAACCTTGCAAAATTTGCAGTGTTCATATGATGTGGAAGGGAACCAGATACATTTTCTCTTTCTGCAACACCCCTCTTCATAAAGGATTCCCTGAGAGGTACCACACCCCAAAAAATTACTAACAAGCCTGATGAATATGTACACAAAGTCTGAATAATTTATGTCCATTAGAAAATAAGTTATGGCAATATGAATGATGCAGTGTAGTCTAAGGCTGTTTAACTGCCCTGTCGACAGGAGGGTGTATTTTTTTTTATTGCTAGTGGGTGGGACTAAGTCCCTGGTACTGTGGCTACTTCTGGCCTATTGTACCAGCCCCAGATGATAGGTGAGGGTGATTGTGGAGCAATTGGTGGAATGAGGACTGGCGGGGGAAACCGATTACACACATTACATATATTATTTATACACATATGAGAGTTACAGAGAGAAATGAGTGTTCATATATAATACCCACGTGAAAAGTGAGAAGATTTCAGCACAAAATTCTTCATGTCTGAGTACCAAACATTAAACCCCTTCATATAATTATAAAAAAATTTTGGCAGATGGGTCACTACTGGATAAGAGAGAATAAAATCAAAATGCTTTGTGCTCACATAACAGTAACTGGTTGCAATGGGTGCTGGGTTTGAATACTCCCCTTGAAAATCCCTCATATGCCTTGCGCAGGAGACCACGGTGTACGGTTTCAGATTCCGTGTTTGCCCTTTTTCCAAATATGAACTTGTAAGCATGAATGTGAACACTTTATAAAGGCACAAGGAATGGGTACATAGCAATGGGGAGCGTGCATGGCATCTGCCATGGGCTGGATTTGATCTGTTGACCTATGGACTTGATGTCTGTACTGGTGGTTTGAAAATGTGTGGGAAGAGATGATGCAAGTAACTTGTGTCCCTCCTGCCAGACAAAGTGATCTGCAGCAGGCTCTCACATAATTCCCCTGTGGCATTACATTCAGACTTGTGGACACCCACCACATACAGAATTAGGACTACAAACACAATATGAACTGCTGATATTTCAATAATTTAAAATATCCATTAATGCCCAGCATACAGGATACTGCTGGGAAAGCCGGAAGGAAGAAGACCACTGCAAAGGTGGGTGGACAATATTAAAATGGATCTGAGAGAGATAGGATGGGATGGTACAGATTGCATTGATTTGGCTCATGATATGGGCCAGAGGGCTCTTGTGAACACGGTAATGAACCTTCAGGTTCCATAAAATGCTGGGAAGTTCTCAAGTAGCTGCACAATTGGCAGCTTCTCAAGAAGGGCTCATCTCCATGAGTGAGTGAGTGATCTATTAATGCCTACCCATCCCCACAGATTCTGCATTCAGAGCATCTGTGAAGCCTCATAATGTGATCTTAACATTTCCACATAATCCAAAATCGCAAACTGGTTCAGCACCATGGTTACATACTTTGTCTTTCAATATCTGTGACTGCATTACACTGTGATAGCACATCTGACAACTTATTAATGCTGTCTGGATGAAATACAGAATTCATAAAGCTCCTCAAACTCAGGCCATACTAAATATCAACATTTACTTCATGGAGTGAAATAATGTGTATAAGATGTGTATTTTCTGTGCTCCAATGAGTGTTGTTTAGTGTACACATGTCAAAATAAAATTAAGCCTTGTTTGAAAAAATGCCAATTTGGGATCAATTCCACCATGTAAAGTAACTGAAGACACCAGTTACAAAAATCACTGATCACTTGACTGCACAGAACATTTAACTGTGGTTTTGTTAAAAACAAATTTTTCAGTAATTCTATTTTGGTCCTTGCAAGCTTTTAGTGGTATTCCTTTTTCTTGTGCAATGTGCTTAACAGGCTTACAAGGTGAATATTTAAGCCAGATTCAAGTACTGTCCAATTTCTGTCAATACTCAATGGCTAACATTCTGGTTTCCTGTCTAAACATGCCAGTCCTTGCTTTATTAACAAAATTTTGAATAGCACTTCTGTAAAAAAAAATCAAATCCCATGCAAATGTCTTCTGTATTTTATTTGACACTTCATAATAGAGTTACACATCACATAATATTCAAACAAAAATCACTTTATGTTCTAGTGTAATAACATGATTCAATAACCATTAGGTTGTGTTGGTTGACATAAGATCATCTAATATTCACGTACAGAGTATGTTTTATGTTACCCAGTAAGATTATAAACAAGCACACCACTTTACTGCAACAGTTCAAACAATTACTTCAAATTTCATGCACTGTGCACTTATTCCTGCAATTAATAGGTAGAAATTACTGTACATCTCTAATGAGTAACTTCATCCCATCTATATGTCTACACACATTTACTGTGAAAAGAAGATAATGAAACTTCGGTACCATCAAGAAAGCCCTGTATGCACAGTATGGTTCCTTCTGGGTGTCATCATTTCTATCATTTTTCCAACAAGTCATCCACATTACAGTCTTGCAAACCCAACCTTCATATAAACTAACAGCCTGTTCAGTTTAACGCCTAGTTTCCAGTTTCTGTGACAACCAAATAATGGTACGTTATGGGGCTGTATACTAATTCCCACGACATTAATCCATTGGTCTAGCACACTTAATTGGTTAATTTATCAAACAAAATGTTATTCCTAACGATAACTGCCGGAGCTGTGCAAGAAGTATGCTTACACAGAATTTTCTGCATTGTAAACTTCATACGTGTGACGTTCGTGATATCCTGATAAAACTATCGACCAAAACAGTTTCCAACGATTCAGACAAATCTGCCCCCGCCCCACAAAAAAAAAAATCCCTGGATGTGGAACGTATTTTCAACCAATTTTCGGCAAAGTTCCACTCAATTACTTCACATTTCGAGTTAGTCGATGAAAATTAAACACGAGCTTGACATTACACTTTACCAATGCTATGTACTGAAAACTAAATATATAAAGAAATCAATCACTGAAACATACAATAAAATACACTGAATTATTCAATAACACAGGGCCAAGATATTGCTAAAGGTATTTTCATCCATTCATGTGTACTACTAGCAGAGACAACGGCAACGAATAATAATGGCGGCTCCTTCCCCGGATGTATACGAACCAAATGAACGTCAAGCGTCTATATTGACTAAATTAATACGGAAATATTACATACTATACCCACTAATAAACCATGTAATCCAAACCCTTTCTAATTTATTGCTTTCGAACTCTATTACAAAAATCTGTCAAGACATAATCAAATAGCACATAAATATAACAAAATAACCTATCATAATATAGATCATGTTTCGTACTTGGAGGCTGCCATATTGGAAAACGCCAATAAACCGCCAAATCACGAATATTGAACTGGGCGAAACATTACTGAGACATAGTGGTTGAACAAACCCAAATTAACTGAAATTTTATTTAACACCACCAGGTACTCCCTTTCTGCTGTACGATATGCAATGACAAAGTTTTCAACAAATATATACAGTGACAACAGATGTCGCCATCTTAGAAGCCAAACACTGGTAAATAAAACGAAAGTCTAATTACCTGTATTATATACATGAAGTTCGTCGACAATGCCTTCATTTCCGCCTCCAAATACCACCATTAAATCTTTGATTGCAACAGCACGATGTCCATGTCGAGGTCTTGGCTGTGGCCCAGTTGGATTTGTCACTCGCTTCCACTTTAGTATGGGAGCCGCCATGTCAGTACATATTTCCTTGCGGTAACCACCTACTAGCCAACCCTACACACGTTACGCTCAAGAATCACAGAGTATATCAAGTACGTACAACATGATTTCAACCATACCGGAAATATGAAAGTCCATGGTGACGGTTGCACGTTCAGTTCACCACATAGACATTCGTCAGCAATTGGCACAAACCAAAATTAATTTTACGTAATTTACAATTTTACATTTCAGGGAGTCTTGTTGTGCAGAGTGGTTATGTTGTGTGTGAGGTCTACATTCAGTATGAAGTAGTATGGTGTATTGTGAGACTTCCATGGATTCTCCAAACACTTTCAAGGGTTATTCTCCTAATTAAGTGTAGTCTACCAAACTATACGGCGTCACATTCCATACGTAAGCTTCTTCCCACAGACAGCAGATGAACATTGTCCGTTTATAAATGCTCTACCTTTGTTATATTTCAACAAATATACTGTGTGCAGAACTGTCAGCGAATTGCGTCGGCACGGTTTCAGGGCGATCACACGGTACAAAATATTCTCCATCTTTCCTCATTCCTTTCTCCCCCAACCCATTTTTTTTTTCTAAATGGAAATCAATTTCTGTTGATTGTTCATGCGATGACCATAAATCCACACCACTCTAAATGTGTTTTGAATAATATTACATAAAATTGTTTTAGAAGCTACACCACCAATAATGATTTTCTTCTGAGTTGAAGTACTAAAAAGTAGATGGGGCAAAATTTAGGCTTGCGTTGTCTCTGATGGTTATAATGTTTCATTTCTTGTAACACTTTGTTAATGTCTCGAGAGTCAGCTTTACCCCGCAATGCTTTTACTGTCCTCTAATCACTGTTCGCTGTACTTCTCCAATGGGATTAACACAGATCAATTTCAGCACTGATCCTATTACCAAGAAAGTTATTTCAGTTATAAGATTCACGCTCACTCTGTAGTAATCCGTGGTGCCGTTTGTTTAGTAACCGTGCTCACTCGGATCCGAATGCTGCCTCCCGCGCAATTGTGATGGAGAAGGTAACGTGCTCAAAGAACTCAAAGAAGGTCTCCTGCCATCTATTTGTAGCGTGCACTGTTGTCCGCTCTTGTCATTCAAGTGTACCTATCATAATTACATTACATTCCCTGGATCCAATATATATTTTTTTTCCATGGCATTACAGCCCCAGTGGGCCTAGGCCTACCTCCATGAACTCCGTTCACTTCGGTTTTTCTCGATCTTACACATACGGTAGGACTCCTTGGGCGAGTGATCAGCTCGTCGCAAGGCCTCTACCCGTAGACAAACACAGAAAAACGCACACAAACATCCATGCCCTGAGTGGGATTAAACCCACGAGCGAAGACGGTGCATGCCTTAGACAGCTCGGCTACTGTGACCGGCCTCATTCCCCTTTACATAGAAAAATATATTGATCACATATTTACTCATGGAACCGAGCCCTTCTTGAAGAGTGGGCCAATTCTGCAGCTACTCAAGAACTATTTTATTGAACCCTAAGGTTCATTACTTCTTCTCACAAGAGCACTCCACTGGTCCCTACACTGAGCCAGATCAATCCAATCCATACTATCCCATCCTATCTCTCTAAGATCCATTTTAATCTTGACCACCCACCTATGCCTTAGTCTTCCCAGTGGTCTCTTTCCTTCTGGGTCCCCCCCCCAGTATCTCCCCCATACAAAAACTGATTAATAATTACACTTGGGTTTTTAAATATATTGATTAATGTTGAAAAACCCAAGTGTAATTATGAATTGAAGTGTTATATTTGTGAATTATCTGTAGTGATTTAAAAGTATACCAAATCCTTGTGCACTAATTTAGTGGCATTCTCCATTCCCTATTGTAGGCTGTGGACATACTGAATGTACATTCTGGTTGTATGAATGCAGAAAAGAAAGATGAGAAGCAGGTAGAAATTGCAATGTCAGTGTCTTTTCTCTCTCAGATGAACATTCTTCTGTTTCTGTCTTCCTGGATGAAGTCTTACAAACATTTGTTTTCAGTTGACCACACTTGCATCTCTATAATAATAAGCAATCAGAAGACTGGACTCTGATCCCAAAGTGACGGGACTAACTAAATAGTCTAAATGTGGTGCCTGCAAGTGCTGCTAACACAGCTTTATTACGTGAAGGTACAAATAACACAAAGAAAATTGCACACATTCTTTCATAAATTATGTAATGAAATTGGACCACATATAAAATAAACCAAGAGCATTTAGATTTTGGTCTTCTGGGTTGTGACACTGTGCAGTCATATACTGATGTATGTTTCAGTCACAGAACGACTTCGTAAATGTTCAATACAGGTCATGTGATTGGGCATCAAGTGTATGCCATAATGAGATACATTTTTATGAATGAGTACGAGGCGTTCACATCTTGATATTGACAAATACAGTTTTCTTTAGTAACTTGACAAATTCAAGGCTCTGAATTTCATGGTGGCCGATGCACCTCCTGCTGCGAGGTGCATACAGATTTTGCTGATAATGTTTGGAATGAAGGGAAGTAATTTACTTGCATACCACTTGATAGTATTATGTTTCACAGCAAGCAGTGTGGTTCAAGAGAATGATTTGTCAGCAGTAGCTATCTGTTCTCAGTTACAGTTAGTGAGCGTTATGGTGTGGTATACGTACTTCAGAGCAACAAGTATTTCTGTACGATACCTATGTGAAATATGGATCTGCTGGAAGTGTCAGAGAAAATTCTAATGTAAATTTTGTGTGAGTTCCCAGCAGACCAACAATTCATTGTCTGGTGAATAAACTTAGAACAGGACTCTTAATAGAAAAGAAACAAAAACATAAGCATCAAGTGTATACTGAAAAGTTAGATGACATAGGAGCAAGACTTTTAACATACATCTAGAAAATCACTGAAACATCTACCTCAAGAGACTGGAGTGTCGAAGTCTAGTGCAAGAATGGCAACACAATTGCTGAAGCCATTCAGTGAACGTTGGTGTCTGGTGTGCTGTAAGTGCAAGGAGGATTGTTGTACTTGTGTTTTTTAATGAAATAATTAATTGCAAAAAATATCTATGTGTAGAGAGGGCAGCATTTTCAACACTTCCTGTGATCTGTGAATTGTAACTAGAGCAATACCGCGCATAGTCCGGGTAATCGGTTCTACCAATATCCCGGACTGAAACCAGACTAATCAAGGAACTAAATACATACAAAAAATGACAATTGGTTCCCAAAAAAAATCTGTTTTTCAATAAAAAAATGTGATTAATAAATTCAAATGTCTTTATTAGAAACAATTTAAAAAAATCACGTTTTTCGCAATCCACTTTTTATTCTCTAAAAATTGCAATATTGATATATGCACATTTTTCTTCTTTGGCTTTTTCTGTTCATATATTTCTTTGTAGCGACGAATTTCATTGTTTATCGTTTGGCAAATTGTAAGGCTACATTCAATATTGGGATAAACTTCCATAATATGCTCTGACAAGGTTTCAACCATTCCAATAATTTTTGATAGTTGTTCAGCTGTTAATTTTCGTGCAGGCACTTCAACACAGTCATCGTTGTCTAAGTTGTCCTCCCATTCTTCATCTATATTAACAAGTGTTTCATTATCTAGTTCATTAGTGTTCAATTTGATGCACTCAATTACGTTGATGGAATCTAACTCATTGAAACTAAGTTGCTGTCCAACTTTCACTATGTTATTAGTGACTTCAGCAAAATGAGTTTCAAAACCAATGAAATCATTTGCACAATGTAGTATATGTTTCCATACTGCCCTCATATTGATTGCCATTAATTCATGCCATGCTTTGCCTATATTTTCAATAACGTTTCTGATGTAGCGCTTTCAAAATTCCGTTAAAGTAGTGCTCTCCCCACCTCCTCCAGTGACAGGTGTCAGAGCTCAAGAATGAACAACCCAAGCATAGGTACATACATATACAATGGGGAACCCTAGAAAAAGTTGAAATATGTATCGTATTGCATAACTTTAAAACCACATAAAAATAAACCACACAGAAAGAGACTTGACTGTATAAAAGGAAAAAACCGATCACTTATGTATTAAAAATAACTTGGTGTACTAACTTTTTAGAATCTATTTTCGTTTTGCTCAATTAAAATTTAGTTTGTCTTGAAATTTTGAAACCAGACTGATCGAAGACAGACTATGCGAGGTATTGCTGCACTTCATTGCATACATTATTGCCTGCCAGGCATCCTGATTCATCAGCAAAATTCGCATGTGCCTCGCAGTAAGTACAGCACCGGTCACCATGAACCTCCCTGTATTAGTTATATTAATATATGGCCCACCTACAAATTTATGGTGTATAAATTCACAAAAAAGTCTTATGCTATTAAATATAAAAATTATAATTTTTAAAATTGTTAAAAAGTGCTGTTGTAATGATGTAGTGATGACGGCCTTATGTTAAAGGTTTTTATAACATGACTACAGGAATGTGTAAGACATGCGGATGTTACCACATTCTGTAAAAAAAATGAATTTTTGAAATATAATACACATTTATAATTAAGCAAGCAGTCTAAAGTGTACCTCTTAAACAGCTTTACCTGCATCTCCATAAGTGTCCATTTCCTTATATTACTCCTGCTGATCAAGATTTGCTGAATACATACATATCCATTGCCAGAGTGTAACCACATCAACACAGACTTATATATCCAGTTGCAGTACCCATTACATGTTTTCAACAGTTTCTTTTAGCAGTTTCAGCAATTTTAATTATTTTTATTATATGTTATAGCATAATTTTATTTTATTTTTATGTCATAAATGTGCAGACAGCCACCCATAAATATAATTAATATTTATGAACATTAAGACGTGAACATCACGCACGCGCGACACACATACACAAAAAGACTCCAATGAGGGTATACATTTCACGCTGAAACATGTAAACTCTTACTCATTGTTTTTGAATTCTACAATTCAGAGGTTATAGTGACTTTCTTTTTAATTCACATAGTGGGGGGTGGAGGCCAGCTGGGTCCACTTGGCACAGCGGCCACTGATTGGCCTACTGTACCTTCCCCAGGTGATCATGATGATGGAGAATTTGTTGGAATGAAGATTGTTATAGTGACATAACAGAGAAGCATGCAGTCTCTTTCTTGGTTGATGGGGTTTAGGTTCACAGATTGCCTCAATTATGAAGGTATGCTGCAAGTAAAACAGTTATACTACCCATCTTTACAATGGCATGGATTAAGCTTATTTTACTTACTTCTTCCTGGACTGACATACTTCAGCTCTATGTATGAGGCAGTATGTTCTCAAAAATGGTAGTATCCACCTGTATGATTACATGGTATCACAATCCACATGACTACAATCTGAACAAACACTGCCATGGAAAACTCTGAACTTTTACAAATTATGAACATGTGACAAACCTATAATCAGCAAGAAAGTCATAATTTTAAATAAGAAAACATTTTAAAATATTTACAAATTTAAATCTTTTTGAACTATAACAAATATTAATGAAGTTCAATGCAGAATTAAAACAATAAATTCCAGAAATGCTTATTTTTCAGTTCATATCTTGCCAGTATTTCAAAATAGTAAACTGCAAGTTTCTGAATTGATAATTTTGTTAGTTTTGCATGCAGAGCATGGGGATCGCATAAGCACACTGCTTTCCTTAAGAAAGGAAATTAGACTAAAAGAAGTGGTGGAGAGGAAAACATTTCTACTGAGGACTAAACTTTAGCTGTCAATGTCCTGCAAGCTCCTAAGTGTGCTGTTCATGAACTTCATACATAAAACTCAAACTATAAGCCTCCCTCCTAGTTTCATTTCTACATTATACTCCTAATTATGTGTGTGTGCAGATTATCCAGTTTGTGGCATGTCTGTGCAAGTTCACAACCCTGCAGAGTGCCTGTTAAGTCTGCTCGCATTCTATCTGTGTGCAAGAAATGAGAACTCAAGAGCTTCTTGATAAATTTTCATTTTTCAATGCCCACTTCACATGATCTATGTGCATTTCCGAACAATTTGCAGCAGAACTCACCATTGCAACCCACATAACCAAAAATAACAAAAGGAAAGAAAAACTGCATTACAGTGAGCAGCAGAGTCCTGAACTACTACAATCTGTACACCTGAAGATGGCCATTTATGTTAAAACATGAGTCAAACAGTGTCTAATAAAGGAACTATGGACTGCGTTTTACTTCGATGGGGCAGAAACCCCTAAGTCAGATCTACACAGTGCAACAGGATGCTGAAATATAACATAAAGTTAGAAGATAATATCATTACTAGATGCTGTACAGTAGGTAAAATATCACATGTTCTGAACATATATTGTAATAGTGGCCTCCAACTGTATTGATGTAAAGGCGTCCCTCTGATGATGGTCTCTGAAGACCGAAACATGTAAGGGCATGGACAATTGAAATAAGATAAATCTTCACCAGTCACAGTAAATGGAACTGTTTAACTTTTCATGATCCCTATTACTTCTTCTGCTATATGCACTTCCAGATTTCAACTGACTTGTCTGGTCCATAGAACCCCATCGCATAGGCCTCTCGTGGAGCACACAGAAAACAGCCAAATTGTTCGAACGTGTTTACCAACCGATTGTTTAACAACGGTCGCTGCAAGGACTCCACTGTTGTGTGATGTCACAGCTTAGCAGAGAGGGGTGTTTACCGAGTGTTGTGTAGTGATGGGATGAGTGGGGATATGTGACGTCACTCGTGGAAATGCAGAGTTCACGTGACCCATACTTCCTGTTGCATTATCCAAGCGTTCACAGAGTTCTCGCCTAGCAACACACCAATACAATCCGCAACTCTCCCGTTGCGTGCGTGCCCCAAGGCCTCTGTGGCTCAACAGCTCCTGCATTGAGCCAATATGTCACATTATTTTATTCTGATGATTTACTACTATCCTCTGGAGTTTCACAATTCCCACACTTTGGTTTATCCAGCATGTTATATTCATTAACACTCCCCACAATAACAACAGAAGACTTGCAGCTTCCTTCAGGATCTCTTGTAAGTGAAATTGTATTCCCTTTCTGTGCAAACTTCATTCTCTTGCGGATTTTGGCACACATTTTACTTGTGGACACTACCTTCTGTACATCTTTACTCTGAAGCCATCGTGTTGCCCATGAACAATCTGTAGTGTCACTGCTTTTGTTCTGACTCTCTGGTCTGCAATGTTCATTACCTTCAGTTTCAGTATAGCTAGATGAAAATACATTTTTTTCAGTTTGGGCTAAATTCTCTGATGTTGAACCAGAAGTTTCATAAGAAATTAATGGTTTATGAGCTTTAACAAGGCATTCTCTTAACGCAGTATTTAAAGTTCCATGGATCTGTACATTTGGAGATCTGTCGTTATTGAAATTACCCTGTTCATGTGGATTTTCAAGTGACAGTTTCTGTGAATTATGTGTTTGTTGAACTAAAGTCTTCTGAAGTTTATTGCTGGTATACAATTCCAATAACTCATCATCACTATCATCTAAAATTATTATATCGTTACATCCTCCATCTGGCTGAATTTCTAGAACACTCTCAGATGATTTATCATCATTACTCAGCTCCCCATCTTCCTTATTTGGTTCATCAGGTGTCAATGCCATTTCAGTTTCTTTGCATTCTCCTGCATATGACCCTGATTCCTGATCTACGTTATTTGAGTGTAAAGGAAGGCCTAATTTCATGCTGTCAGTACCTTGTGTTTTGCCACAACAAATGACTTCACTTTTTATGTTGCCGAGTGAAATGCTTTGTGAGCTATCTTCATTTGCTACTTGGTATAAATTTTTATTAAATTCAGAGTGCTTAGTACCTAGTGTGTGGTCAGTTTTTGTGGGAGAACATAATTCAGGACTCTGAGTTGAACAGAACTGGGTTATAGCATTGATGTCTTGAGATAGCTTAGGTGACAGGGCGGAATATAAATTATTTGTATGTTCTGCATCAACAATACACTGATTTAGAGGCACATTTTCCATTCCTTTCTGTTTAAATTTCTGCCTAATAGATTTAGGGATGATGTCAAAACTGTTAGATCCTGCTGCATTGTCTTCAGGGGACCAATCATTATAACTGCCAACAGCATCTTTCACTGTACTTAGGCAAGGACTTCTTAGTTCTGAGTCACCTTCACAAGAGTCTACATCTTCTCCATCCCCTGGTCCACTCTGCTGTTTCAGAAGAGCTCGAATTGCACGAGCCCTCATCTCAAGCTCCAGAATTTCGAGCAATGTCTTGCCTTTACTCTCATCTGTTTTTGCTGACATGTCATCATCATCATTCAAATTTACAGTTTCTAAAGGTGAACCTGCTTCTTCAGACTCTTCAATATCTTTCTTTGTAACTTTAATTTGCTTTTCTAATTCTTTTGCCTTTCTTCGACTGTTCACCTTGCTCTTGCTTCTCTTAACTACAGAAACATGTGGCTCTGCCTCACATTTTGAAGAAGTCCTCTTTCTTTCACAGTGCTTGGCAGAGGGCATATCTGAAACAAAGAAACATAATGTCTTGGGATTCTATTTGAATGTAGTGTCTGAAATCATAAGACATTTTAAAGTAAGATGATATACAACATGTCAGGACCCCAAAATTTATGAAGCAAAAGTCCTGAGATCAGAACAAACTGCTGTTGACAGTAAAAGTAGCCACTTGGTCATGCTAAAACAGTGAATTATATCATATCTTTCATACACAGTCATATAAATCATACTACTATAATTATGTACAAAGTGTCCAGGTTATGAATTCCATGGTCAAATGAATCAGAATGTGCATCCAAACTTAATGAGGCCATAAAAGCTATCCCTACAACAGGCTGTGAAGATCTGTAGGGATGTGACACATTGAGGCTCCAATATCTTCTAGACATTCGGCTCACAGATGGTAGAAAGGTTGTCAGCCTTATGCTCCGGCCACCCTTTACCCCCCAGGAACATTCCTGGTACTCATTTCTGTTAGAGGCTGAGTCGACCTCAGGGTAATAGTGCGGCTGGAAGGATTAGACAAATTTCGTAAGGGGGGAATCCAATGACATCATCAGGACTTGAACTCGCGACCTTCTGACTTGTAGCATAGTGTTTCCACCAACTATTCTATTCTGTGCCCCAAAGGTGCCCATTTTGAATATTTATTAATCTTCTTAATAAACCTAACTTATACCTGTTCAAAGCATCCAGAAGTTCAAATATCTATAGCTCTGAAATGCTCAGAATCAGGTTATTCATGATTTTTATGTTTGGGAATGATCTAAGGAAAAAGATCCTGAAGTACCGACATACAGTCACCTGACATTATGCTATCAGAAAGTTCCCAGGCTGTTACTGTTGTAACTGTCTCGGTGAATGATGAGAGGGGAGGCCAAGTCCACACTTCCGCAAGCCTACTGCAACAGTCTGCCATATGACACCACACTGGGAACACACGCTGATTTTACATGAGTGCTTTTTCGACTTCGTTTTTCGTTTTGTCTGTGATGGATGGCAAAATCTAGCAATGTCTCTGCATCAAGTTTTGCATGAAGCTCGATAAATCAGCTACCGAAACCCTTGAAATGCTTTGTGAGGCTTTCGGAGAACACTGTTTAAGCTCGACAGCTGTTTTTGAATGGCATTCACGTTTCAAGGCTGATCAAGTGTCAGCTAAAGATGATGATCGTTGAGGACAACCAAACACCAGCAAAATGACAGAAATTGTTGACAAAATTCAAGAACTCATCCATGAAGACTGTCCCCAAACAATCCATGAGCTTGCATATGCCGTTGAGATCAGTTATGGAGTTTACCAGGAGATCTTGCCAGAAAATTTGAACATGAAGTTTGTTCCCTGATTCTTGACAAAAGACAAAAAGCAGTAAACATGTGTCTTGAGGTATAAGAGAATGCTAACGAGGTCCCAACTTTTATCTCTAGGATCATAATGGGTGATGAAAGTCGTAGTGGAAGAACCTACAATCACCAAGAGCAAAAAAGGCAGTGTTCAACAAAGAGCATGCTCATTGTTTTTTTGATGTGAAAGGGATCGTTCACTGCACATTTGTTCCTCCACTACGGTAAACTCTGACTTTTACTGTGATGTTTTGAGATGCCTGAGAAAAAATGTGGAACGAAAAAGACATATATACATGTTACACCGTGGTGACATGGGGCGTGGAGGTATCCCACGGCGGTCATCATTGTTACGCCGTGGTGACGGGGGGCGTGGAGGTATCCCACCGCTGTCACCATATGTTATGGCGCGAAGGGGGGCGAGGAGGAATCTCTCCACCTCTTCTGCCATCCATGCCGCTGCGCCCTTGGGGAATGGCCAGTTGCAAGGCTAAGCACTTGGTACTTGTCTCGTTAGCTACCTCTTGGCTGTGAGTTCACAGTCCTGATAACACAGGGAGGTACGGGAGAAAGGGGAAATAGAGGGTGTGACTGGGGGTAAGTCATTAACACCACACATCCCCTTCACTCGGTCTACTCTCGTCTACTAATATATACACTTTATACATATCACTTTCATGGCTGACAGTGGCTGGTTACGCACACATTGTAATTTAGAGAAAAATACACTTGGGTTCACCATCCCTAGCCTTCGAGGTACTTCCTACGTCCCCACTCAGGGCCCACTCTCTCTGCCCTAACCCTGTAACATGACACTTTAATAATATCTCACTGTATATCCATGACTGATATGAACAGTTCAACTTACTTGGTGTAGGAAGCTGATGGTGTCCCTCACTTGGTCTGGCACGACCATGGTTCTGGCCGGCTACTACACTCAGTTACGATGATCAAAAGATTGTTTGATCCAAAAAGATTCCATGATCGATTCAATGATAGATTCAATGACAGATGCTCTTCTAGTTGTGTCCGCAAATTTATAACCTTCCCCCTGCTGACACCTGTCTTTGGGGTAAGCTCCGCCTCTTCACTAGAGTGAATTTTCCCCCCAAGGGTCCGTCTCTCGTTGGTCAGCTGGGTAAAGAGGGTTGGATCTCCTCAGGCCGTCTCGCTGAGTCGGCACCCTGTACGCCTTGGCCGTACAGCTGTTTTCAGTCTCTTCCGCGTGAATCAGCGGTCTAAGCAATGCAACAATTTTCTGCTGACGTCACTCTTCCGCATTTTTACTTCAAACATTACCCTTCGTCTAACTTCTCTACTGGGCCCAAGATAACTTAATACCTAAAAGTTACAAAAACCCTTGCCGAAATTCTATGGCATTATAATACATATATAAACTACGTTTCTTTCTCCCAAAAACATGTTTTCTGGTACTCTCATGCTCAACTTTAGCCTCAAGGCCAAAACATACAATGCACTGATAGGCATGTGACTTGATTTGTGACAAGTTTCCTGGTATGTGTGGTATGTGCTGGAAAAAGCACTCTGTGTGTGTATGTGTGTGTGTGTAAGCACAGATGCGCTTGCTGGTGGCCTTAGATTGTTATGTTATTCATTCATTCATTCACCACTGACAGCTACAGGATTAAAACCTGTTCAGTATCCAGCACGTGCACTGATGGTAAATTGAAGGTGAGAGGATATATTACTGTACTTCTTACAATTCAACAGTTCTCCCATTTCCTTTTTTGTGATGCCAATCTCTAGGGTGTCCATATCAGGTACTGGTCCATTCTGCAACCCATTTCTTTCATCACCTGTAAAGTTGTCCTTTTCCACCTCTCCCAAATCTTGATCCTGTGTTCCAGCTTTCATTTCATCACTTGACCTGTAGAGTCATAAAACAAAATATGTGATACTATATTTATATGTCAGTTATTTTATGATGCAGTTAGTGTCGAATGGGAGCATGACATGAAGTGGAAAGGATTTGGAAGAAAGTGGTTTGAGCCTAATTGAAGTGATATTCTGGCATTTTCCTGGAAGGACTAAGTAAAACCATGAAAAAGCTCAGTCAGGTAGTTCACACAGCTGCCATCTTGAATGAGACTCAAATCAAGCACCTCTTGAATGTGGCATGAGTATCACTGTTATGCCATATATTTATGTATACGAGTAGTATATGCATAATCTCCAAGTTTAAAACACAAAATGTTCTCTTAAGCAGTAAAGGTAAAAAAAAAGGTAAAGCTGTACCTGTGCTTCACTAATTAAGCACTACACCATGAAGATGTATAGGAAAGTCGATGTATAGATCCACATTTTCTTGACCTTGGCACTAGTTGGAGGTGAGTGGTCAGCTTCACGCCCCGGCCGCTTTACCCCCTGGAAAGAGCCCCTGGTACCCATTGGATAGGATGTTGGGTGGACCCCAGAGCCAGTCTGGATGATCAGAAAAGTGAAAATTCTTGATCCTACCGGGACTCCAATTCTAACCCCTTGATTGTCCAGCCAATAGGCAGTCACTATACTGACTACAGTATTCAGGCTCTCTCTTAAGCAGTATGTATTTGAAATTAATGAAATGAAATGTTAGGTCCATATGCAAAAAGTTAACAAACACTAATACTGCCCAGTTGGGGGAAAATAGTAGTAGTTAAGCTACAATTCTGGGAACTGATGAGGAATGAGAGTACTATGCTGTTCACTATGACCACCTCTGCTGCATGTTATATGGGGTAATCAATTAATTACTGCTGCATGTTATATGGGGTAATCAATTAATTAATGTACTTCAATTTAATGCAATTAAATTAAATTCAAATCATGTTTATTTACGTGCAAACTTAATAGCACAGAGGACAACTACAAAGTTAGCATGAGTACACAGATATACACTATAATAATTAAAGAACAAAATAGACAAATATGACAGTCTATACAATGGCAATAAATTAATAATAATTCCGATTAAGTTAGCGTTAACAGGCAAGAAAAATAAACTAAGTACAAATCCAATGGTTATGCCATTTTGTGGCGAGAAAGGACCATACACGTACAGAGACACATAGAAGTTAATAATTCAATTCAATTCTTTATTATTTATGTGCCAAGTCAACAGCCGCAAGGCCAATTACAGACAGAGCATAGGGTAGATACAAGTAATTCCATTATGGACAAACACAACATAAAGTCAAAGACAAATTACAGGCACGCACTAGAGGAAAACACAATAATGCAGACAAGGAAACAAACAAACAAACAAATGATAATAATTCAATTCAATTCGTGTTTATTTATGTGCAAACTTAACAGCACAGAGGCCAATTACAAAGCAAGCAGGAACAGAGAGAAATACACAAAAATAACGAAAAAACAAAATACAAAATATGATAGTCTATATTAATTACAGTGTGAGCATGAAGAAAGAATAATAACTAAATTAATTTTTACTTATTTGTGTGCTAACACAACATCCAAATAATAATAATAAAAAAAATAATAATAACAGAATATTATAAAAAACGATTGAGGAGAACGTTCCTGGCTCCAAACGCGTCAATGTCCCTGCAAACAACATTAGCAGCTGATGCACATCTAGCAGAGGGACAATTTTTACATGAGAAGCAGACATCGAACTATGTAAAGTCTCTGATATACCGAGCAGGAACTTGGAGACCAACAATTTCCAAGACAGAGGGGCAGAATTTAGAACCAAAGTAAACTTGAGTAAGAAAGAGTGCATCAAGGCAATGTCTCCTAATATGTAAAGTGTTAATTACACTTATAACATTTGTTTATAATTTATTTATTCAACTATGTTTCATCGTCAGATTTGTCAGAGTCATTTTAAGACTGGAAATGCTGTGTTCCCCCCCCCCAAACCAGAATAAAGAGCATTGTCAGTTCTTCAGGCAGTCATGTCTCTGTCATATGTGCTGTGTGATGTCACTACATACCCAGCATGTACTCTATAGCCAGAGATATGATAACTGGATGGTACTCCAGTTTTGGACTTGCTTGTACTGCACAATTACTTGTAATATATCACTCCATAATTATACAGGGTGGGGCACAGAAACTTCTTTTTTGTGAAGACACATTGTGAAGGTGTGGGAGGTTGCAGAAAAGTGGGGATAGGCTCGGCGAACGCAGCAGTCGCAAAAGTTTCTGTCTAATACCCCCCAGTAGGAAACATGAGGTGGACGAGTGAGCAGCGTGCATTTGCTGTCAAAACCTATTTTTCAAACAACCATTCCTACGTGGCGGTGCAGCGTGCGTTCCGTACTCACTTCAGAATTAAGCCCAGAGGTCTGGTTCCCGACCAGAAATCGATTGTTTTGTGGGTAGAGAACTTTAGCACAACTGGGAGTGTGGTGAAAAAATCATCAGGACGACAACGGACCATTACGATGCAAGAAAATGTGGAGGCAGTTCAACAGTCGATTTTGAGATCTCCAAGATGCTCCGCTTGCAAACATGCATTCGCCCTAGACATATCCAATCGTTCAATGTGCCGAATTCTTCATGAACATCTTCATTTCCATTCTTATAAGATGGTTGTTGTGCAAGAATTGTCACCACATGATCTCCAGAACCGAATAATGGTGTGCGAAACGTTACTGGAAACTTTACCCCCTGATGCACTTGTTTTCTTTAGTGATGAAGCACATTTTCACCTATCCGGATATGTCAACAAGCAGAATATGCGCTACTGGAGTGGTAACAATCCCAGAGACCTCCATGAGAGGCCACTTCACAGTGATAAGGTGACAGTATGGTGTGCGTTGTCGAGAGTTGGAATTATTGGCCCTTATTTTTTTTGAAGAAGACAATCATGCAGTTACTGTCAATTCACAGCGATATATGGACATGATTAAAAACTTTTTCGAACCAGCTCTTGAAGAAATGCATCTAGGAAATGTCTGGTTCCAACAGGATGGTGCCACGGCTCACACAGCCCGAGCTTCGATGACACTTTTGAGGGCAAAGTTCCCTGGATGGCTCATCTCGCTTCGAGGTGACATCCCGTGGGCAGCACACTCACCTGATCGAACACCCTGTGATTTTTTATGGGGATACCTCAAGGCAGAGGTTTTTGAACATCACCCCACAAACCTGATTCAGCTGAAGAATGTTATTTGGCAGGAAGTAGCCCAAATTCTGGTGCGCATGTTGGAACGTGCAGAGGGGAACTTCAGAAAATGGTTGCATCAGTGCACAGAAAACGGTGGTCACAACCTTCAAGATATTTTGTTTAAAACTATATGATTTAAAACTTTAAAGTATGTTCTTTCATTAGCTAAACATAAATGTTGTCTATCAGCAATAATTTTTCTTTTCTTCATCTTTAAAAAAAAAAAAAAAAAAAAAAAAAAAAAAAAAAAAAAAA